CCTAACTATATGGATGGTACAGGTTTGATCAAAGGAAGCCATTTAGGTTTGAGGCTTCTCAGTTTTTAGATTTTGTTAGTCTTACAGTTAGAGAACTTCCTTCCTCCAGTCAACCACATCTCCAAAATAAATCAAGTTTATTTACAGTAATTAGCCTTGACAGAGTAGATATATTCTGATAAGATAATTTTAGATAAGACCTTCCTCGGTTACCTTTCAGGTAGTAAGTCCCATCAGAGTGTTTTCAAGGAGGTCTGGTTGAGGTTTACACTGCTATACTGTGGAGGAGGGACTCAGCAAATTACAAACCTGAGGTTAACTCTTCTACTGCCAGAGACATACCAGAGACTATTAGGTCAATGGTCTCCAAAGAAAAGAGGGAGATAAAATGGCTGAAAATAGTCACACAATTATCCAGTTTTCATTTTTTATTTTGTATTCTTTACTTAAATTTATACATGAATTAAAGAGCTTTATGGAGTATCTCAATAAAACACTAGTCCTCACTTCTGCCTTTCTCACGTGCTCATCCAGGCAAGTCAATCATTTTTAAATACTTTTTTGTTGAGTTTTTGATGTCTTCCTCAGTATCTTCACCTAATATTCTGTTCATTTTTCTGATGTAGTCAGTTATCTCTTGGGTTTCCACAATGGAAAAGGAGGATGTAGCACATTTTCCTTCAGTTCTCACCTTCTCTAACTCCTAATACCATCTCTACCTGCATGGTTAAACTCTTTCTGTATTCCTGGCCTAATGCAGTTATGTTATCATTTTGTAGATTAACATCCATCACTTACATTGTTATGATTATATATGCTATTCATGGTTCAGTCATGTAGTATGACATTCTTTTTTTATATTCTTTAATTTCCCATGATTACACTATTTTGTTTTCTCATTTGATTAGTTGATATTTTTAACAACTGATATTTTATCCCCAAATCTCTAATTCCTTAAATTATCTCATAAGATATTCAGAGTCTTACATGTTTTATCAATTTGATCTTTAGGAAATAAGGACACTGGGCTCCTAGTATAATATTATGCATAGTTGTTTTTTGGGATCTTTTTACATCATCATATTGGAGATTCCCTTGAATTCCCTTCTTCTGTGGGTCATTATTATTTCTCATTTTGTTTACACTTTTGTATAGGTAGAGGGCTCTGGTGGCTCCCTGCCAAGGGGCATGAAAGAAAGATTTGAGAACTCTACGCCTTAAATGTCTTTATTCTTTTTTATTCTTGATGAGTAATTTACCTGTTTATTTTTCCTTTTGCTGCCTGTGCTTTTGTGTCATATCCACAAACTCATTGCCAAGACTAGTGTCAACAGGATTTTTCCCTATATTTTTTCCTAGGATTTTCCAGTTTCAATTCTTACTTTTAAGACTTTAATCTATTTCAAGTAAATTTTGCATGGTATAAGATGAAAGTCTGCTTTCATTTTTTTTGCATGTGGATATCCAGTTTTCTTAGTACCACTTAGTGAACACACTCCCTATCTTCACAGTGTGTTCTTGATGCCCTTGTCAAAGAGTAACTGGCCATATGTGTGGAGGAATCGATGGGTGAATGAATGAGCAAGTTGTGGTACA